TATACTAAAATTTAACGAATTTTTTAACAAATTTTACCGGGTAAAAATCTCGAGAAAACTTTCCTACAAATTTGTGATGTTACTATAGGGATACTGTTTCAGGGAAAACAGTGTAGAAATATTTCCAAAATTATTTTTTGTCCCGTATTCGGCTCTCATAAATATGGTCACCGTAGCTATAATATGTACGATATGATAGAAAATTCATATTTACATGAAATTACCTTGATGCTATGTTAATTAACCTGAATTGCTCCACCATCGCTAGCCCCAAACAAACTTGCAATTTTCGTAATAGTCGAACCTTCTCCACTTGAACCCAGTCGGTATAACGTGATAATGAGCTGGATTTCTGTTGGAAATTTCTTGCAGGAACGCGGACTATGAAAAATGCCATCATCTTTAAGTAGATTAAAGATAAATTTAAATGCTTGCCAACTGACTCTCGCAATTTGCCGGAATCTGGCTTCGTCCAGGTTTTGTAAAAGTTTGGTTGAAAAGCTATATGACTTTGGGGCAGAATTGTGAACAAACGGGCAGCCATGTCGTAGTATATGTTCAGAAGCGGCTAAAATTAAAACTAATTCCTCAAAAATTTAATTTTCCTTGTTACTCTGGTTATCTGAAATTAAATACATATGTATGTATGTACATACATATAAAGGTACATATGGGGCGAAATTCCTCAACTGTCCAGGTAAAAAATTGTATGTAAGCGATTTCTTTCAAACCATATATGTAATCATGGTACAAATATTTAAAGGTAAAACCGCTCGCTCAATTCGTCCGCCATTGGTTTTTTTTTGACGTTTGCTAGCATTTTGATTACACTCTCTCGAAATTATTCAAATGTCAAATAAATACAAAAAAAAACACATGAATATTTATGATTTTCCGTTTTCCTCTACAAGCAAAGCAATCTAAAGTTCTAGAAGTTCCCGAAATTATCGTATCTACAGCAAAAATTGATCGAGGTTTGTGGTGTTACGGAAGCGGTTTTTCCAAGTGCCCCTGTTTGTGTTAGGCTCATTTTTTGCCACACCACCGGACCCAATGTAAGCACAAGATAGTTCTTTGCAAAAGTGCAGTGCCTTTAAGGTAAAATATCCTTAAGTGCATGCCAAAATCTTCGCCTTAACATGCG